AAATGAGTGATCATTAAACAAAGACTATCTCTACTGTATGGCATTGTTCAGTTTTAGTTGTCTTTAGTCATCTTTTGCAACTCTTTGGAATTTGCAATAAGAAAGGAGATACATAAGGGACAACTGAGGGATGGACAACCTTTGCTCCAGGAAGCAAAGTTGGTGTTGCCAGACTGTCCTAATGACAATAGGAATAAGTATTGAGCACAAGGTCATTATTCTACATTTGCTGTTAAAGCATTTTTTTTAAGTTAAAAGAATTTGATTCAAGGGATCATTTAAGCAACCAAATTTGCTTATATGAGTGCAGAGCACAATATCCTCCACTTCACTGTTCTCTTCATTATCACGTTGCATGGAACTGGGCCGATGCTCCCTATCTTTTTTGCTGGACTATGCTGGCAGTTCTGTGGTTTTCCACTAATCCATGAAAAGAGTTTGCCCCTTTCTATCTCCATTTGCACATTGTTGGAGGCATAAAGTGTCTGTGTTCACACATTATAATAAGGTAGTTTATTGATTTTGGTCAATGTGTTATATGAATCCAGACACAACAATTTACAAACTATGGTTTTATAGATTAAAGTTATGTGTCACCCCTGGGATCATTATTAAACAAATTATAGTTGTTATAAACTTTAATACATAAAGAAAATTTCCTGATTTTTTTCTTTCTCTACTTTTAGGATCTTTGTATTATAATGAGAAATGGTAAAAAGTCATGTCCATTAAAAACAAAATGAAGCTCCCATTGCAATGTTTGAGACACTTCTGGCATTCTGCCTAATTAAGTCTGGAATTAAGCATCAATCTTTATGAGCCTTTCAGCAGTGGTGCAGCCATCTTGAAGATTGGTTCCCAAACTTCTTACAAAGAAGAAATAGAGCAGGGCAAATTAAATTATTCTCTTCAGGACTCCATTATTAAATATCTGTCACTACAGCTTTTCAAATACAGACCTTATTTTCTAAATTTTCCAGATAAGAAGCATTCCTTCCATCATAACTAAATAATTTAACTGGCTAACTAGTACAAATAAACAGTGCTGTTACATTAGGACTCCTTTCATGCCAAAGGGAATTGCCATTTTCTTCTTCTGGAATGATTTTTAATCCTCAGGCTAGTCTATAGCTGTAGGATTTCTTGATGGTCCTCCGTCCAAGTGCCTTCTAGATCCAACTCCACTCCAAAACAAGCAACCTTACCATGAATGTGGCAGCTCTTTATACAAGGTGGTGGACAAATTTATTGTAGGTATGGGGATAGCCAATTAGTAGGTGATTTTTCTTCTGAAATCTTGCCAAGAAAACTGCAAGGACTAGTCCAAGCAGTCAACAGGATTCAGGACTGAGTCACTGACTGACTGAAACAAATAAATTATGGAAGCAGAGAAACTCCTCAGGATAAGAGTCCCTGATGAAAGTGCCAGAAATTACTTTTGAAGAATATAATATGACAATCATGCATTGTAGAACAGAGCCCAGCTATGCTGACTCTTCTCCCATAATTATTATGAGGGCGTAATTTGAAAGGTGGGCAGGCAGACAGACAGACATAAATACATCTGGGGAAAACAGGGAGATAAACGTATCTGGGAGAACAGGGATAAGATGAAAGTCATTGGCTTTAGAACACGCAAATGACATCATGTGATTTATTTGATTTTGGCTCAATCAATTATGTGATCTTGACTAGTGATGGTTTATTCACTAAACTATATTTTTAAAAGCCAGAGCATGGCATCATGTGTGAATACAACGCCGTAGCACTATCAGCCATTATGCCATGATTCTGATTAGTTCAGGGGCAACTTGGTTGGCAAGGAAGCTGATAGACTCTTTTCAGCTGCCAGTAGCACTGGGGGGGGGAACCTTCCATGGAGACCCCAAAGTTTGGGCCCATTGGTGACAGACTGGGTTCTATTTAGTAATCCATTTAATAAACATTATGCAGTAATGTTTAATCTTTGTAAATTATTTTTTTTCTGTTTTCTTAAAAAAATATTTCTGTTTTCTTATTTCTTCTGCCCCTCCTCTCCATGATAATCATAAAATACATGGAGTAGCAACAATATTAATATGCATTTCTTAATTAGTTGGAATATTCCATTGGAATATTAGTAGATTCTTTTCTTGTCATAAAAATGATACAATAAATAGTTGTCAAGACAATAAATAATATTCTGTACACTGATTAGAGAAATATGCACTTTCCACATAATTTTATTTTTTTTTCAGTTGTGTCATAGGTAGCAACAGTTATGAAATAAATAATGTTGTAGAAATCAATTCTTAAAAATGGGCTCCTGGACCAAATATGTAAAACAAATGCTACTCTTTATACAATTATTAGGTTGGGTGCTACAATTATTATACATGCTATTTTAGACAGTAATGAAGTTGTAAATTAAATTTTAATAGCTTGAAAAATCGCTCCTCATTAGAGTGACTCTCTTGCATTAAAATGTTCCCATGTAGAGTATACAAGTTATTTATTTAAATAAACATACAAGGATAATGAGGGGAGAAAAAATCTACAGAATTCAGGACAATGACTGCATGCACTGGTGGGTGGACTTCCAACTGATCAACTAACCAATGGCACATGGAGTGGAAACCAGGAAAGAATTATGAAAGTCAGCTGTGATTCCCATCACCACATTGCAGGATCTTCATACCTGCAACACAATATGAAAAAAAAGGGGGAAAGATTCAAATGTCTCTGCAAGAAAATTAAAAAGCATTATATAATCTTGGATCTTTGAAAGAGGCATAGGCAATGAGCTATCATAATACAATTGAATTTATAATATTTTGCATATTTGAATTACAATTTACATATGAAGGAAGGGAAAGGTAATATTTTTCTTCTAAAACACAGTAAATTCCTGATTTTTTATTTCTTTTCATTATTGGTATGCCACTAAAGAAGATTCCAAAGTTTAAACTTATCAAGCAAACTTATTTGTTAGCTATGTATTAATAAATAGAACTTATCTGTCTTTCCTTTCTGCATGCAGGATCATTATTTTAACAATATGTTTATATTTAAAATGTATTATTTAGTTATACATAATCAACAGTTGATTATGTAAAAACTATTATCAGACATATTATTTTTTACTTTTCTACTACTCCTTACTCTGGAATAAGTATGTTTACTCTGTATCAGTAAGTTTAGGAGAACTTAGTCACGCAAGTTATATTTAGTTATATTTATATTTAGTCTCCGTGAATAAATTAAAAGTGGAGACATTTTAGACTGATAAATGTTGCTGGATTGCAGTTTCACCAGGTTCAGCCAGCAGGGAAATGGGAAGAACATGGATTCCTTATTGCTGATGTAACATGATTCATCATATGAAAGGAGACAAGTGTCTTACAGCTTATAAATTACATCCACATGCAGTGTGTGATAGATTGTTCAATACATACAAATTATGTTTGAACAGTTTGAACATCTTCTCTGAGATAGATGCTAAATTTTGGGATTCTATTGCATGACATGAGTCCTCAATTTTTGGCCCTCCAGGTACAGTATACTGGAACTCAAGTTACTAGAATTCTGAGCCAGAATAATTAAATATTCTCAATATTTGGAAGCTAAAGTCCCAAATTTTGCAAAGGACACTCAGTCAGGAAAAGGAAAACTAGGCAAAGCATTTATCAGTGTTTATTTATGTGTGTTATCAACTTTTATTTCAAACAATGAGGGACTGTAATCAGAGTAGCTCCAAGGGTGACATCAAGGGGCTCACCATGTGGGGAAAAAATGAGAAAATGCAATTAAAAAGGATGCTGAATCAAGATCCTCCTATTATTTCACTTTATAAGCATAGAAAGTGTATAACACATATTCCAGCTTTTATTTCTTTGTGCTGATGTTGAAAATGCAAAGATAGGCAACTGCACTTTTCAAGTGAATACAGTTTGACTTCTCCATGCAATGGGAAAGCTTTATGACTGTGACTGAGCATAAATTTACTTTATCAGAACAGGGTTATATCCTTTCTATAAATCTTTCCCACCATATCAGATAGAATATGGAGAGAGGAACATTTTTATCATCTCTCTATGATTACATTGACCAGCAATTGATGTGGAGACATTATTAGAAACAACTATTTGCCTTAGTGTCTATAACAACACATACTAATTTAAATGCAGCCTTTCTTCTGGGATATATCCATTTTCTGTTTTTTTTTTCTGTTTTTTCTCCAGAATGATAGCTGCCAACATTCACTATAGTCAGAAATTTATAGTTTTACCACAAACCGTTGACACTTATCCATTTACTAATGAAGGAGAATATTTGCAGCTCAGGGTTGACATGATGGTTCTTTGGTGTTCTCTGAGCTTTTTTGTTTTCTTGCAGATGTTTCATTATCCAAACTAGTACTGATAATGTTACCTTGTTTGGATAATGAAATGTCTGCAAGAAAACAGGCAAACACAGAGAGCATCAAGGACCCTCCATCCATTTAGAAATAATTTTAAAATCCTGCATTTGAAGAAGGCAAGTTGTTCGTTTCCTGAATTTCATTTGAACCTAAGATGGCTGGGAATTAAAGCATCTCTGAACAAGAGATGATCTCTGTCCTCTTAGTAATGGAAACAACTCTTTTCAGATAATAATACAGGGGTACCTCAGTACTCATCATTAATTGGTTCCGAGAGGCATGATGATATCAAAAGCGATGAGCATCAAACAAATTGATGTAGTGAGTCACAAGGCTGCCGATACTAACAGGTTCTAGCTTATGCATTGAGTACCAAACAAACAATGAGTACTGGGACAAAATGTTCATGTCAAAATGTGTTGAGTACCAAATTCGATGCATTTCAAAGCAGCTGAGTACCAAGGTACCACTGTATAAGCAACTGTATGCATAGCAACCTAAGATAATATTGGAAAGACAACACATATATTATGATGTCATAGTACAAATGGTGCAATTATAAAATCACATCTAAAGTAATGTAGTTGACCTCACAGTGTAATAACATATACATTGTAATTTGTTTCCTATTTGCCCCTCCCCCCAAATATCCATAAATACAATCAAGTTAGAGCATTGGACAATATCACAGATTCCTCTATGAACCCATATATATATATTGGCTAACAAATTTCAGAATTTTAACAAAAAGCAGAAAAGAACAAGTCATTTTGGGGTAAATTTGGCTTTGACAGAACCTTCAATCTATTGAAATATTTAAAGGAATTTACAATAGGTATATAAAAATATATGCTAAATCTGAATAAAAAAATAAACAATCCATTAAAACATGCAGAAAAGGATATGAGAACTGAAGAAAGGCAACATTAAAAGTAAGTTTTTAACTGATGTCATCCAGATAATCTATTTTAATATTGTTGCTGAATTGTTAAATATATGCTTATCTGTCTGATTTTGTAATAAAAATGACTGAGCATTCCTTAACTTTGGAACCCTACTATGTCAAATAGAAGCATTGTAGGAATAGTTATTCAGCTAAAATTAGTATCAGAGATTTTGTTTTTCATGGGACTGAGATAGAAAAAGAATGAGAAAAGAATGGGGCAATACATGTTATCCATGTAAGACTCAGTCTGTTCATAGACCAATATAACATTCATACTTGGAATCACAATGGAGTGAGATAGCAGTTCCTTCCTTTTTTCTTTTCAGACACCAAGTAAGATTTATCAACTTTCAATATAGAATACAAAACTCATCAACATTCCAGAATAGGTAAAATCCCAGATTTGTCCATGCAAAACCTGGGTTTTAAATTAAAGATAGTGTAGTTTACAGTGCAAATAAAGTTCTGAGCAACTTACAGGAATAACTTTCAAAAGCTACTTTTCTATTACCTAGATCTAGGAATGTTTTCTGTGCTTTCTCGCAACAAAAGATCGGAGATCAGCGTCTCTGGGCTGGATCGTTTCCCATATCTGTTAAATGAGTTTAAAAATTAAATTTGTTAGATATTTTTTTAAGAAAAAAACCACTAAACAAGTATGAATAGGCACAATCGTCCATCAACATTCATTGCATATTTATTATTTCAACTATTATAATATATATACTGTTTTACTGACCAACTGAAGAAAAATATATAGTATATAAGATCTAGTGTTAGTAATAAAAGGAAACAATTCAGCTTAACTATTAAATGAAAATTAAAACACAATCTAAACATTGAAGCCCCCCCCCATATGTAACCCTACAAAGGTGCAACAGCTGACTGATCTTATATATGGGCTTTCTAAACAACGGATCTGTGTTCAATCCTGCCATCTGCCAATAAAATATCCAAGAATACTGGACTCAGAAAACTCCTGGGAGACACACAGCTGATCAGAACTCAGTAATTGTCTCCAATTATCTTCTGATATGCTGGAATACAGTTTTTTCAACTTCAGCCAGTATTCCAGAGAATAAATACAGTCGATATAGTAAAGGTTAAGTATGATAATATAAAGTTAAGTATGATAATATGAAACATTGAATAATGATTAAAAGCCTGATGATACAGAACACTGTATGCATAAAACGCATACAATTCCTGAGAAGGAATCAAGCTAACCTTTCTAAAGAATAATTGTGCTACTTGAACAAAAAGAAATAACATACCTCTGCTACTAGCAAGGTATCTATCTATCCCTGCAGTTGCACATACCATTTGACCAAGCAACTTCTAGAACCTCATTTTACTGACAGTGAATTAAGATTTAAAAAGCAGCTTTTATAAGTCAAGAGAGAGAGAAATGAAAAAATATATGCAATAAAAGGCTATTTGATGCTACAGAAAAAAGTTCTATAAACCTTACATTCTGTCAGCAGATCTAGATTCAGAAACACTATTTCCGTTGCAATTGTATGCATACTTGTACAGTCAGAAAAAGTTTTAAGTGTTTCTCTAAATCTTCAAAAGCTAAAATAACTGTCTTTCATGAAGAATGTGAAGAGAACCAGCTGCATTATTAAACTGCAAACAAGTATTTTATTTCATTATACAGTTGATTCAAATATTTATCTAGAATGGTCCGTGTTTCTGCTTGTTTTTCCCAAAATATAGGCCAATGGACCTACCTTAAGCTGCCGAGCAAGTAAATATCCCTTTAATAATAAAGTCCAAGAATTCTATTTGTTTTAAAGAAATATAACTATAACAAAATATTTATTGGAATCAGTTAATAAGATTATTGGTTGATATCTTTAAAAATAAAAGATTTATTTTCTTTAATTAAACAGTTTGAACAAAGCTATCATTCTCTTATGCCTGAAACTGAGCTCAAATCTTTTTATTTAAGCAGCTCCACCATCTTGCAGTTTTAAGACAATATTTCTTCTTCATCCACAGCAACAAAGCAAAATAAAAATAGATTCCTTAAAAATGTGATTTATTATATAACCTTGAAGAGATATTGTAAATCCATTGTTTATATCTGGAAGACAAAAACTAGAATATGATAACATATTTTTACTGTATTGATGAATTTTAAAGAATAAATGATTCATGTAATGATTGCAACTACAGCATGATGACTTGATAATTTAAATACTTTTTTGCAAATGAACTCATGCATGAGGATAATTTACACTCAAAATTTAGAAATGTTCACGTATCAGCTCAGCACTGCACATTATCAAGAAATCAGGTCAATATTTTTGTAGATATAGTTGGTGGCCGATGGGAGCTGCCACTAAAACATCTCTATCCCAGATGATAAAAATGTCCTTGAGAGGTCCTTAGTGCTCTCTGAACTTACTTGTTTTCTTGCAAATGTTTCATTACCCAAACTAGGTAACATCATCAGCTAGCACTGAAAATGTTATCTAGTTTGGGTAATGAAACATCTGCAAGAAAATAAGCAAACTCAGAGAGCACCAAGAATCCCTCATGTCAACACTGAGCTACAAATATTCTCCTTTATTAAAAAGACCTTAATAATCTACAAATTAGACCAGTTTCTCCTAATCTGGTACTTTTTTCTTGTGCTAGACATTTACTTCCATTGTTCCATGGATCATTTATAAGTACCAGGTTGAGATAGATTGAATTAGGTAGAATAGCCTCAAAATATGTGAAGTTTATTATGTTCAGTTAGCAAATGCAAGGGTCTTGGTAAAGAGAAGTTAATGCTGAATACTGACAAACTTTATAACTGCTGATAGTGAAAATTAGTTCTGAATTTTTCCCTCTCAAGAATCTCATATCTGTCTTAAGAGTAAGAGTCTCTTAACTGTCCAAGCTGCTTTTTGGAAGCTTTAGAGCTATTAAAGAAAGAGGCTGTGGAGACATAGAAAATAATTACATTGAATTGGCCAACATTTTATCCACTATAAATGTATTTTTCAACATTGTGTCTTTTGGAAAACAATATGAAAAATCATCTTTTTTTTCTGGAAAGAGTGGAAGAGCGAATGTGCCATTGCAAAAAGATATGGAACAGAACAATAATTTCATTTCTCATTGTTTAATCACAAAGTTGGCTTTTAAACTCATCTGTTAAAATCCTTGCTAATATCTATGGTGAAGGTGATTGAATACAGACTCTGGCCTGACATGATTTGCCAGATGTTTCTTATTAGTATTAACTTTATCTTCCCAACCTGATCAGTTAGACACAGATCAGGAAGAATGCTCTGGACCTTACAGATGCATAAGAGTTTGCCTGTGGGTCAAACAACCCTGGGAATGAAATCCTTCCCCCCCCCCTCCTAAAAATCTTTCCCACAGTGAGAAACACTTAGAATCTGCCAATCTCAAGTCAGGAAATAATGGGCTTTATGACTCTTTCAAAAGAGCAGGAAGTAATAGACTGTTTGAAACTTAGCAGAAAGTCTCCCCCCTCTCCTGTTCCATAGAAAGCAATGAGAGGGGAGGGATGAAATGTTTGGATAGCAATTTTCTTCCAGATTTTTGTACCTATTTTGCTCTATATTGGTCACTTTGCTTTTTCTTTATTTGAGAAATTGTACATTTTTTTTCCTTAGAGCATTTCTACATGTAAATCTTAAATCTGTTTTAATTCTCTCTAGTGGAACTGTAAAGTCTACACTGGCTGTAATCAACATTTTTTTTAAAAAAAAAAATCTTCTATTCTTCTCTTTCTTCTTCTAATATTTCCATTTGGCTGAAACCATGAAATAAACCTTCAAAAATGTCTATGCTTTAGTGACACATGGAATTGCTTATTACACACAGGATGCTTTCCTGTAAACATGTAATTTATATAATTTCATCTAGCTTAATAAAAAGTTCCTGCCCTGTAATTTTTTTTACAAGGCTACTATTGCTTTGTATGAGAACCAGGATGTGCCAAATTTAGTCATTCTGTAGAGGATTCTTGTACGGGAATATCAGAACACTTTGCTAGGACTTTTATTTGAAGCAAGCCATAGTATGATATATTACTTTGTACTGTAGCTCTGTAAACCTTGCAAAGAGTGGCTTATTAAATAAACAAGATTTAGCAGGCCATCATAGTGACAAAAGGGATCTACTTACATGTATAATTTAATACTTTTAAAGCATCACAATCAGCTTCTTATGTCTGGATTTGTGCAGAATTGCCCCACCCAAGAAACAGTTCTGATTTGTTTTATGCTCACATACAACAAAATAATATGAGAACCAGAATAAGGCTTCGGAGAGCAGTAACTGCTGATTGGAAAATGACAATACTTTATGGGAATTGTTTTTGTTTGGTATTATATGCATGATCTATTGGTCTACAGAATTGCAATTCTGGGCAATTAAAAATGCTTTGGAAAAATGTAATGGAACTTTTTTTTTGCATAACTACAGCAAGATTACTTTATGCACAAAGATGGAAGGATTCAGCACTAGCACAATGGAGGAATAGTTAGTGAAGATGATAGAACTTGCTGAGAGGGCTAAATTGACTTATTTAATCTAAGAAAAGACAATATCTACATTTATTCCTGACTTGAAACCCTTTATAGATTGTGAAAGCAAAAAAAAAAAAGGGGGGGGAGGAAACATGATTTAAGGTTTTAATGATTAGACAGAATAACAGAAATAATAGAGTTATGTTGTAATCAGAGTAAGAAGTAAATTTATAATTGTACTTATAGCTGCTCTAAAGAAGATCAGAAGTACTTCGTTGTATCTTTTTTCTTTTTATATTAATTTTTCATTTTCATTTCAGCTTTCTGTTCAATTTATTTTTCTCACTAAATTAATTTATATTATTTTTTTACTTCCTTTTTAAAAATGTTTAATAAAAATAGATCAAAAATGCTGAAAGAAAAGGATTTCTATTCAATTCCTGAAATCTTTTTAGCTATTTTATTGCACAATCATTTATCTGTTTGCTAAAACAACTTTAATGGGTAATATTATTCTCCGAGCTTCTAATTCAATTCTCCCTGCTGTAAGAGTCCATAGTAAGTGAAAAATCTAATAAAATCTTATTTGTTTTGAACTGTAAATCAATTAGTGGATGAGTCCAACTGAACCATGCTTTTTGGGGCTAAATGGGATATCTCATAACCAGTTGCTTTTATGGTATTAAAACATTAAAGGGGAGAGATTTTATTTCTGAATTTCATTTCTATTATTTAAATTATAACATTGAAATATTAAAATAATCTGTAGCTTTGTATTTCCCTCTCTCTTAAGTCTTTAAGGCTAATTCCAAATTAATACACCCTAAAGACCCTAGTATCTGAACTAATTATTTTACAATATACAATCTACTTTTTAACTAAAACTTGGCAATGTCAGAAAAAAAATATAAAGTATTGTAGCTATTTTTTTAAAAAAAAAACATAGTTTAAATCTTGACTGATCACTCTAGCCTGAACTGCCCAGAAATCTGTTTGATTTTAATGGGTCTATTCTTGTTATGACTTAATCAGCAATTCTTTAAAATGACATTTATTAACAAATACATGCAACATGTACGCCCTTCTTTGTAGTGTCCTCTGAATGCTATCTTTTATTTGACAGGCTGCCCAATCCATGTTTATTTTAAGGAAACAGACTCAAAATGGAGAAAATGGGCATGGAAGTTGCACCTGTACAATCAATTGAAAAGGATAGTGTATAAGTCAACTGTTCAATCTCTATCACAATGTATTGTATTTCAGTTTCAATTCTAATAAATTATACTTGTATTTTTATGTATAAATTGCATGTAAAATGTATATGCAAATAACATCACATTTTTAACCTACAATCAAAATTGAGCCAAAAATTTTTGTTGCTAAGCAGAACAGTTATTGAGAGAGTTTTGCCCATTTTACAACCTTCTTGTCACAGTTATGTGAATCACTACAGTTGTTAAGTTAGTAACATGGTTGTTAAGCGAATCTGGCTTCCCCATTGACTTTCCTTGTAAGAAGGTTGCAAAAGATGATCACATAATCCTGGGAAACTGCAACCATTATAAATAACTCCAGTTTCCAAGAGCTGAACTTTGATCACATGATCATGGGAATTCTGCAACAGTCATAAGGGCGAAAAACTATCATAAGTCATGTTTTTGGTACTATTGTAACTGTGAACGGTGACTAAACGAATGGTTGTAAGTCAAGGAATACCTGTATTTCTCTTTTTGCAATGAAGCTTAAGAATCCTCACTATCCAGTAAATATATAATAGGAAATCCAGACTCTTTTAAGATAAAAATGCCCTTAAGTGGTTATTTAAGCAAAGACTGCACCCCATTTAAATGGTTCCGTCTGTAGGATCTGGTGGGTCCATTCTATATACAGTCTTTTTTATGCACAAACACAAACACAAGTCAAGTATTATAAAAAGATTTAAATTATTTTATAGAAATATGTTTTCAGTTTACTAATTTCTGTGAATTTATGCAAGTAGTTATATATAGTTAAATAACTTTTTGGCATACAGAGATCCACTATTAATGACACAAGTGTGAATATATGTATTAGGAAGCCTATTTTACACATTGTGTCTATTGGAACATTCCCAGAAAATTATGTAAAGACTGGGTGCCTGGAGATGAGTGAGGAAACTTTCTGTAAACTATCAGCCCAGTTCAATCTTGAAATACAAACCTTAAGAATAATCATTCACATATAAAATGCCTTAGGATTCTTACAATGCTAAGATATGACATAATTCCCATTTGTTTCTGCCACTTTTGATCATAACTGTTACAATTATTTGAGGTTTTTCTCCTGTCACATAGTAAAAAATGGGCTGAGGATCTGCTGATCAAACCAAAGTTGTAGAGAGGTTAGATAACAAATATTTGTTTAATTTTTACCTTCACATTTCCTTCCTAAAAAGGGAAAGATAAAAGTGTGGGAGCAGGACCAGAGCTTAGAGAACAGAGATGGGTGTATACAGTCCATGAGCTTTTCTTCACATGGTCTTCTGAAGGTCAGTGATCAACCTTGTTGAAAAAAAAAAGGTCTTCCCACTTTCAGCAATGTACTACAGCACTACTACATTCATTAAAATAATCTTTGCACAAGTTCGTCTGTTGCACCAGTTGCGACCCTACCTGGACCGGGAGGCTCTCCTTACAGTCACTCATGCCCTTGTCACCTCACGTCTGGAGTACTGCAACGCGCTCTACATGGGGCTACCCTTGAAAAGTATTCGGAGACTACAGTTGGTCCAGAATGCAGCCGCGTGAGTGATAGTGGGTGCTCCTCAGTACACCCACATTACACCTATCCTCCGTGAGCTGCACTGGTTGCCTATTGGTCTCAGGGTCCAATTCAAGGTGTTGGTTATTACCTTTAAAGCTCTATATGGCTCAGGGCCAGGCTATTTGCGAGACTGCCTACTACCTCATAGTTCCCTTTGTCCGGTTAGATCCCACAGGCTGGGCCTCCTTCAGGTCCCGTCGGCCAAGCAGTGCCATTTGGCGGGGCCGCGGGGGAGGGCTTTCTCTGTGATGGCGCCCATGTCTTGAAATCAGCTCCCCCCGGAGATTACGACCGCTCCCACCCTGTTGGTTTTCCGCAAGCTGCTTAAGACCTAGCTTTTCCGGCAGGCCTGGGGTTTATAAAATCTGACCCCTGGATGAATGTTATTTTATTGTTTGTTTGTTAAGTTATGTTGTGTTTTTATTGTAAACCGCCCAGAGTCCTGCGGGAGTGGGGCGGTCTATACATTTTAATAAATAAATAAATAAATAAAATCTCTCCAAGCAATGCTCAGAATCAGGGTCACAGTTCCAGTCTACAACACACTTGCATCTGAAAATTTCAGATCAAGCAGGGGACAGGTTTTATTCTTTATTTCCACAATATGCACACACTAAATTCTACTTGCTCTCTCTTCACCTTTTTCTCTTAAGAATGTTTGCCTAGGATTGATAGGATCAAATGCCATTCACTTTTATCTTCAAAAGTTCAAATTTCATTTATACTGACAGCTCCACATTGGGCTGATGATGGAAAGGTGAGATCAAGCAAAGAGCAAATAAAATAATTGATCTTCTTTTTCTACATTCTAGAATGGTCACCCTGTTAGTCTGTTGCAGCAAAGACAACAGTTTTTCAACACCATAAAGAATAATGTATTTATTGTTGTATACGTTTTTATGGTCTAGAAAGTTGATGGAATGAACTCCACTTAGCAAAACCATATGCTATAAAAATGGATTGGCATAAAATGGATTTTCTTCCTTTTGATAGTGCAAGCTTCGAGTAAACATCCATTTCTCATGATCAACTCCTGACTTGAGCAAGGTTAACAAAATCAGATACAGATTAACAAAAGGTAACAATAAAACTATTATAGGGGTTCATATAACTCCTTTCTTCTTGAAAGAAAGAAATTTTCTATTTTATACCTTATTCTTTGTTGCTTTGAAATTTATTAAAGTATAATTTAATAACTGCAGTGTGACTGATTTTAGGTGATGCTTTTTATTGTTGTACAGTATTCAGAAGCTACCTGGCTATTCATATTTCCTAATCTGAAAGCATTCTCATTGGAAAAGTCTAATTCACGTGTAAGTCAGGGAGGCTGTGAAAACTGCAGAGTGTTACAAAAAAAGTAAATGAGAATACATAGATCTATCACAAATATGACCTCAATACAAAGATCCTTTCTTTATTCCATATGCCAGCCAAGATTAGATTATTGGACAGTTATTAAGAAAGGCAGAGGTGAAACTGACAGCCCTATCCCAGTGCTCTTGGAGACAAAACAGTTCTATGCCTATTTTTTTAAAAAAACAATGGACTATAATGGGCCCCACTTAATATGTCTCCACCACCAATGAGATAGAAACAATGCCACATGTTTTGAAGATTGCCTTGCAATAGCATTGAATTTTGTTACTTTTTATTACAGTTTTCCTGGAAGAAAAATTCAGGAATACAACTAGTTGGGATCAACAGTCTCTAGATTCCTCAAAATAAAGGATGAAGTTAACAGAGAAACATGCATTTGGAACAATTCTCCATTTTTTCTGCATAATTGAATTGAAAATACAAATGATCTGGGAACTAAATGACACTATGTTCAACTTCTTTCATTTTCTAATATGGAGGACACCAGGATAAAAAAACTTTATGAAGACAATGGAAGATAAAAATGATACATAATCATATTATACCCTCCCCCTTTTACACTGAATGTTACCCTGGTACCTACCTTTGCCGTGTTATGAGGTTAATGTAATGCCTCAATGCTGAGTAGTACCTGGCCATGTCTTCTGCAGGGGCATCCTCACCAGGGCTGTCTGGTTTAGAGGGATAAGCTTCTGCCAGGGTTCCCAGACAGATCAGCAAGCACAGGGCGAGTGTCATAATGGAAAGCCAGAACCGCATGGTCCCCTGCATCTGTAGGAAAACAGGAAATTGCAAGAAGGAGGGAACCAGAGGGTTATTTCAATATTTCTCTGTTCCTTTCCCACCAGGAAGGAATGGAAAATGCGTGATTGCCAACTCCTCGCAAAGAGTTTTAGAAGAAGCTCGTTCAGCTCTATTAAGTCACCAATTAGAGTCAGCTGTGATTGGCTTACAAGTCTACATAAGTAGATAAATAAAGAAATAAAATTACTTGCCCAGAGGCTAGTTTCTAAAACTAGAAGATGGATGGATAGATGAAAATTTGCCTCTATGCTTCTGTAATCTCATAAGCTTGCACACTAGCCCCTATAATTATTTCATTTTGAGAGGGAACCTGTCTGTGGTTTGGCTTTAATGTATTACAAATTGCTATGAGGTTCATGAACAATGCAGAACTATTTTAAATACAAAAAGAAGAAAAAAACATCATTCTTCTATACCCCAGTGAGGAAATTACATTCTGAGGAGAAACATTAGGAAGACACTTCTAACACATTCCTTTCCTGTTTCTTTTGTAGTGGCTGTTATTTTAAAGCGTTCAAAACCTTTTCTCCTGTGGAAACACCCTGTAGGTCTACACCCTATTATATCATTCAAAAAGGCAAAGTACGGCTATTCCATTTTTCCTTCTTTAATGGATTGTCCCTAAAAAGAAAAATATAAGAAACAATAGGATTACAAACAGAAAACATCATGGAATCACCCTCCCCATCATCAATATGGCACGGGATTACAGAATAAAAATATTGTATGAGTTTGTCTAGAATAGATCTTCTTATGGGTAAGTTTCATTTTTAAAAATGCCTAATTCTTATAGTTTGTTTATAAACTTCAACAGAAAACTTGCTAAATTTGCAGATTTGGTGCCAACTATTCTCATTAGTTGCATAACAATGAGGCACTGAAAATTATTGAAAATCTCAAATCACTGCTAATTCAGGAATGCTTTAAAACTGAGCTCTAGGATTTATGTCTGAATGTTAGGATAGTTTCTCTCCCCCCCTCACACACAACCCCTTTTCCTTCCAGCGTGAAAATGAAAAGATTAACCCAGGGGTCCCTTGATGAAAAACAGATGCGGATTTACCACTAACTGCCCAACAAATCCTTCCCCAAAGGTATTATATCATCCCGATGTTACACTCTTTTGAAAGTCTTGTTTATTTTACTGGGGCTTGTTGGCTTGTTTTCAAATTATTTTAACTTTCCCCCATAAACTACTGATAACAAAGGAATTCCAATTCCCTAAAAAAAAAAAAAAGTGGAGGGGATCTTTTTCTCGAAAGAAGTGGAAATAAATCGGTGTAGATTCTCAGTCACCCAAGTAGGGCTGTCTGAAAGTTGAGTCGTGGCAACTGGACTTCTTTTCTTTGGGTTTGAAACATTTCGCTGTTCATCCAACTATTCAGCTACTTGGATAAGCAGCGAAGATTTCAGACCCAGAGAAAAGAAATCCAGTTGCCATGACTCAACTTCCAGACTAGAGGAAATAAAAGTATATTTGGAGCAGGTAGGACGCCTTTCTTCCACACCCGGATCCCGGGAAGCTAAATGACAAGGACAAAAAGTCCAAATGAACTTAGCCGCACGCTTGGACCGTAGCATCGCGCGGAAAAGCGGCGAGCTTTTAAAGCGCAAGAGAACGGCGCTGGATGGAAAGCTGCTTTACTCAGGAGGAACTGGTTGCCGAAGAAAAGGAGGAGCCCTCGGTCTGAAGGAACCCATGGGGGACTGGCAGTAGGCATCGAGGAAACTCAGTCCGATCGAATTTCCCGCGAGTAGGCGCGCTTCTTCCTATAAAGGAGAAGAAAGGGACGAAACGAAAGCGAGCGCTTCGGGACAGGCGCCTGCTCACCTTTTGTGTTGCGTGAGACTCGCTTGTTCTGCCTCTCCCGGATAGATATTGGTCGCTTTCCTCGCCAACGGCTCAGTTTTCCCAATGTGGGGCTGCGCGCCTCGGCGAGGGTATTTTATGGCTCCTCCGGCAGGCAGGAGGGGCTTCGGGCGATCGCGCATGGGTGACTACAAATTTTCCCCTCCTCGCCCGCGGTTTCCTCATTCTCTGCCCTTCGTTTGGCGTTGGAGGCTGCTTCAGCTTTTGGCACTGTCTTGGGAGGGGGCGCAAAGCTGTTGAGTCAGAGGCTCTCCTCCTCCCCGCTGCTATCGCTCAAGTTTAAGTCAAATGAACAAGCTGGAAAAAAAACATAAGATTTTCTCCGAGTAATACATTTTCTCTCTCTCTGGGGAACTATTGAATCCAAACTTTTGAGGCAGAATAGGTCTTCAACACATCTTTCTACCGGCCTCCCTGCTTTCACCTATCCTGATTGTTCCTCAGATGTGTGGAGCTACATTCTCAGCCACTGTCCTTTAGGGAATCCAACACTATGAAAGGCCTCTGGGTGGGCTGGGTTCTATTGTGCACCACAGTGAGATGCATGAAGGTCTGGAATAGATCCCAAATATTCAGGAGAGGTGGCATTTGATAGGGGATCAGGCTCTCGCAGACACCAGCAGCAGCTATAGACTTTAAACCTGCACCAAGAATTTGCATTCTGTCTGGTCCCTGGAGGCAGCATCTCTAAAGGCCCTCACTCTTCTTTTTTCTGCCAACATAGATCTTGAAATTGAGAACTCAGTTATCCCATAACCATTGTGATAAATTTCAAATTCGGAAATGGAATCCTAGATAGACAATAAACCCTCTTGGTTGTTGCCTGTCCCTCCACCAGGCAAAGCTAGTTGACTTTGGAATTCCATCAGTGCACAATCATATCCCTTGATTTCATTTGTTATTTTGCTTGACATGAAGATTAACTTACAGACTAAAAAGTAAGAAGAAACGTAGTGAGAAGTTTATGGAAAAAGTTAAATGTCTATGGATTAAAACAGCTGTCTGCTGTTTCATACATTCATGCATACTACTTTTTCTAGTTTTATTGGTATGCATGATCCACTGATAACATAATACAGACATTTCTGTTTCATACATAATAGACACTTTAAGTATGATGGTGAATTTTATTTATTTATTTATTTAATTTGTTTGCTGCATTTACAATTTGCAATTTTTACATTTACTAAAATTGTAATGAGAATTGTAGATTTGCTCACTTTTGCAAGTTAAAGGAAAGGTTTGTGCTTTTTTTGCAAAAAAATTGAGGTAATATGAATGTAAAACCTGAAAAAGTACACTAGACTTCTTATTGCAATCATTGTATTCGCAGATGGTTAGATAGTCCAAGAAGAACCAGATATGATTTTTTTGATTGCAAACTAATCTATTTTCCAAAGGGAGAGAAAATGACTATATTATGACTAATTATAATTTTTATGTGATTTTTATGTTAACCTTTGCTGGTTAATATAAGTATTATGAATATTTGGGAATAAACCCCATAGATTGTTGGATTTAATTCAAATTATTCATGCACCAGTAAAGTCATTCAGAGCTGTGGTAGTGCACTGGTTAGAATGCAGTACTGCAGGCTAACTCACTACTTCCTCCAGGAATTCGATTCTGAGCTGTTCAAGGTTTACTCAGTCTTCCATCCTTCCAAGGTCGGTAAAATGAGGACCCAGATTGTTGGGGGCAATATGCTGACTCTGTAAACCGCTCAGAGAGTGCTGTAAAGACTGTGAAGTAGTATATAAATCTAAGTGCTATTGCTATTGCTAATGCATGTATTTAAAGTTCCCCCAATACCTTAATGACATTCCAGCGTTAGAATCTAGTTTTCACCAGCATATAGCTAAAATGATGTAATCCAGCAATATATGAAGACATTCACAAACTTCCTATTCTCAATCTCATTACTTCAGAAAGGGTTTTATAGTACAGTACCCTACTGTAGTTTCTGATTGTCAGCAGCTTGATCTTGACTGATGTGTGCCATCAATGTTAGTGTCAACTTTCAGTGATCACATACTGCAGATCAATCTTTTCTAGGGAAATTTATCTTCAGTCTAACCTTCCAATGGTGCATCTATTGAATTGAATTCATCCACATTTTACTATTCATCTTCTTCTTTTCTACCATCCTATCTTTCCCAACAATTTGGATTTTTCAAGAGAGCTGGGTCTTCGCATCTGTCCAAATATGATACAGTGCTACCAACTTTAATTGGTTCTGGGTGAAGTGACGAATGCTAAAAATAAGTACCAAACAAATCATGTGACTAATGCAGACATGTCAAACACAAGGCCGGGGGCCGGATGCGGCCCGCAAAGTGGTTTCATGTGCCCGCGAAGCCATCCTGGAAACAGTGAGGAAATGGCCCCCATTGCCTTGGCCCTGGCCCAGGCTGGCTGGGAGCCAATATACAATTTTGTGGTGGCCATCTATGCTGAAACACATTCAATCTTAGTTCCACAAGGTCATCTGGAACCAGCGAGGAACCAGCCCCTGATGTGTCAGCCTCTCCCCCTGGGTGCATGCTGGGGAAGTGTCACTTTTTGTGAAGAATGAAGAAATGGACCATGCCTTGGTGCTTGCCCCGGTCCCACTCCTTTCTGCCAGAGACCCTCAGATCTGTCCCACTCCTGCCCAGGCCCCCACAGGCAACCTTGATGCGAACGATGTAGAGCTGGCCATGCCCACCCAGTAGGCCACACCCACTCTGTCCATGCCCACCCAGTAGGCCGCACCCACCCTGGCCACACCCACCTGTCCCCCCGAGGGCAACTACAATGCTGATGCGGCCCTCAATGAAATTGAGTTTGACACCCCTGGACTAATGCATCACCCTTTGTTTAAGTTAGAAATGGTAGCAAGTCACTAGGCA